TCTCTCTCTCTCTCTCTCTCTCTCTCTCTCCCCACATTTAAAAGCATTCAAGCTTTATTGACGTATGGACACATTTATCCTCACCCCTTGATAAAAGGGTAAAAGCACAGAATCATCTCTCCATGAAAAAAGCCGAGTGCATCAGAAAATCATCAAATGAAGCGTCTAAAAGTTGAGTTCGACCCGATTTGCACACACTGAGTTGGACACATTTTGCACAAGTCTGTAATGAATGYAATTTCCTGTAATTGTWTATCTTWCTGCACAGTAGCTGCTTCAATTTGTATCTAATTTGTCATTGATGGTCCGGTACGGTAATTATTATTCTTATTCTGTTACTGCTGCAGTTGATATTGTTACATAGCAACATGCTGTTTTGTGTATTGATACCTGTTGCTGTTACACCTGAATTTCCCTGTGCAGGACAATAAAGGCTGTTTCTATTCTATTCTATTCTAAAAAACAAAACAGTTCAATGAAGAGAATATATATTTTTATTTTGAACCAAAAATATGCTTTTGATTGATGTATTTCTTCTGTTAAAATTATTAAGAGGAAAAGAAAACAACAAAAACAGAAAACTTTGCTGAGATTTCTGTGATAGTCTTTTTGAAGGAAAACTTGTCTTTTGATATAAATACTTTTTAAAGTCTTTGTGCATGTGACAAGTTCATAAATCGAATCAAAGCTGCCAAAATACCATTATCAGAGGGAAAGAAGTGTTTTATCCTTGTCAGATGCTCTGGATGAACAGCCTCATCAGTGAACAGACCTCAGGTGCAGTAAAAACAAGCTGCCATTGGATGCTTTTAATTCAGCAGGTTTGGAAAWGTGACTCAATCAGGTTTCTTGATAAATCCCATTTGCTAATCAAGATTATTTTTTTTATTATGTAGACTAGGATTCTGTCATCATTTAAAGCAGGGGTGTCAAATTCATTTTCACAGAGAACCATGTGAGCGTTATGGTGGCCCTCAAAGGGCCAGTTGTAGTTAACRTCAATGTTACATTAAATTAAATTAAACAGCAAACATCGCGTTCCTCACGTCATTGCTGCAGCTGAGCACCAGTATTTCCTTCATAGAAACAGCGTTTTAACACATCCACTAATAAACATGGAAAAGTACTACATGTAAAAAGGACTAAATGGGAAATAAATAACAGGAATACTATTAAAAGTAAATGTAAGAAAGTTTTACTCACTGTTGAGTTGTGTTAAGTCTTGAATTCTGAGCTTTTCTGACAGGGTAAACATGCATGATTAACATTCAATAAGAGAGATGTAATTTMTGTTCAGTGCTGGCTTTAAATCAGCTTATTTTGAGACAATACAGAGTTATTTAACTAAACTGCTCAAAGGATCAAATTATTTAAAACTCAGTGGCCAGACAAGTGTTATTATTTTCACCTTTTAAATGTGTTTATTTTGTTGCATTGAATCATAAATTTAAAATTTACCATTAATATAAAAACTATTTTCATATCAAATGAAGTAAAAAGAAAATTGGTAGGCCAGATGAAAGTCACACGCAGAGAAAATTTTACGCCCTCGCTCAATAAAATGCAGTTCTCAAACTAAGTGGCATGTACAGCCACTGAAACAGTGTTTGTAGGTGTTCAGCCAGTCCATGAGGTCACTTGAAAAGCCAGGGCTTTGAAATGACAGGAAGTGACGTCATGATATCTTTCTATTTATAAGGTTGATAATTAGTGTTTTGTTTTGCTAAAAGAATGAGGTCCACAGCTGATTCTGTCCACAGAAGCACATTTTTCCCTCCTACCATCAAGCTCCAGCAAATAAGTAATTGTCAGATTTATGAAATTGTTTTTCTGTCCATGTCGACACACACAGACATACTTAAGTGTACCTTGTCTCCACAGAGACAAACAAGTCTATGAAATGTGACAGCAGTCGTGACATTTGTCGATCCCTTTGCAGTAATCCTTGTTTCTTCACTGTTCGCAACATAAAGTCAAAGCTTTGGGGATCAGATGTTATATGTGTTTGTGTTTTTTATTATTATCCTTTCTTGTCTTCTTTTTCCACTTTTTTGTTCTGGTTGTAGCTGAAGTCCTTGTCATTTATCTGACCTGACCATTCATTTCCTAGTCCTCCTATATTCTGCCTGTGTTTAATTTGTTCACTACATGCTATTCTCTGCCCAGTTATGTTCTGCTTCAAAACCTGATTAATTTGAAGGTGCCCCAAATGTCTGTTTTGCATCATTTGATAATGATAGTTACAGAAGAGGAACCAGAATGTATTTCATTCATAAAAAGTCATTTCATATGTTTTTCTGTAGTTCAGATGTTTTTCTTTTTAAGAAGGAGCTGCAAATGCCTTCTTAATTACTTCCTCTTATGTTTGCCTAATTATTAGTTCTTTGGATCTGGCCTTTGTCACTCACAATAAATAAAATGTTGCTCCTGATGAAACCTCCATAATACATTTGCAGAACTGAAAAGACAGCCATTAGTGTTGTCTTGACAAGGAAAATAATTAAGATAAGGCTTTGTAGTAAATGCAAATTTGAGTTGTTAAAATGTGTTTTCTTAAGAATGTAAATTTAACAGAAGTTTGTGTTTTTTCTTCGGGCAGATAAGAGTAACTGAGGACAATATGCTTGGCAGTACTTCTAAAACTAGATTTTAACCATAATGTTGATAAAAGAATCCCCATCCTTGAAGCATGACAAATACATTAAAGACAACTGCAGACACACACACACAAAAAAAGTTATTGGTCTTTATTATTCAGCMTGTAATGTGGACGAACTCTTTCATGCTAAAAGAAAAAAAAATCAAATGTCAAAAAGAGAGATGCAAAATTAATTCCCTTAGTATTTATTTTCCCTCTTTTGCTCTGTATTAGATTATAAGTGATGAACATGCATAAAGTACTCCAGATTTACTATGTTAGTTGGGGAAAACCTCAAAGTGTAAAATTCCCCAAATGTAATTCAGTACTGTACACCATGCATCCATGCATGTTTTCAGTCTGTGAGAGGAGAAAACCACAAGGASAACATGCAAACTCCACACATAAWGGCTGCAGGCRAGAGTTGAACCTGCAACCTTCCTGCTGTAAATCAGCAGACAGGTGCAGCCCTGGACATATTAACGCCCTGGGCAAGATTTCAGGTGGTGCCCCCCTGTGCARCTTTCTAAATCTCACTGCTGATTTCTATATTCACAGACCAAACAGAATAGTTTTGTCTTTGATATTATTTTTATCTTTAGAAATGTGGCTCTCCAATTCAAATAGTTAATACATCCAGTTCCACTGAAGATATCCACTTGCCCCTTCCACCAGTCATATAACACCTGTCCTGTAGCACCTTCACTGGCTCCCAGTCAAATTTCACATTTCCTATAAAATGTTGCTCCTCACCTTCAAAAGCCCTCAATGACTTCGCCCCTCAGTATCTYACAGAACTTCTCCACATTAACACTCATTCCACTCTCAGGTCCTCCTCCATCCAGCTCGCTCAACCCATCTGACCACTGTGGGCTCAAGAGCATTCAGCCACTCAGCACCCCACCTCTGGACCTCTCTCCCACCAGACATCCAAAACTCTCCCACCATCTCCAGTTTTAAATCACAGATTAAARCTCTTCTTTGCAAACAAGCATTTTCAGTGTAACCTTCATCTCTCATCACCTCTAGTTTACATGATGTTATGTAGGATTTTTTAAATTGTTTATTTTCATTTGTTGTTTTATTCCTTTTTGTGTTTTACTGCATTATATACTGTATTTTAATTGCATGGTGTCCTTGAGTGTCATGAAAAGCGCCTTCAAATGAAATGAATTATTATTAACAATATAATTCATTTGAAATTGAATGCAAGAAGTCCACCTGTGGTATACTTTCCTGGAAAAATTTATAAAAGACTCAAAATTCTGCATTTTCCAGTCCTTTGAAGAACACAAGGAACAAGTTACCTTCATAAACCTGAGTAACCAGTGATTATTCTACAGATCAACTCTGATAAAAATGTTTTTTTAATCCTTCATTTGTGGCGCCCCCTGGATGCATAGATCCCTTGGCAAAATATGCCATTTATGTCACAGGAGTTGACATTTCCCAAATATGCACTTCATTTCTTGACATTTCAACTTGGGGRAAAAACATTTCTGGTTATAACAACATTTGTGTTGAAGAAGAAGCAGTGTGGCAGCAGCAGGGCTTAAAGAGTTGAAATGCCAAACAAAGTTGTCTGTTTTTTAGGTGATATTAAAAGTATTTTTGCACATTTAGAATTAAACACACACAAAAAGTCAGTCCATACCTGAGTATTATAGGATGGATATGAAACAGCTCAACAGTCAATGCATCTCTGCTGCAGCTCCTTTGACTCAAGATGTTTGCATTAAATTCACAACAGGCTTGTGTTTTTTTTTCAGTCTAATTCCTGTTTATTTTGTATTTACAGAAGATTATTGGTAAGGGGGACTAAAGTGCTTAAGAACTGAGGCTCAATTTGAAACTTACATATGCAAATTATATATGCATATTCAAAATGCCACCCACAGGCTTAATTTTGCAAACCACAAAAAGCCAGAGGCTTGTATGAACCAAATGTTCCCCCTCTTCAAAAAAAAGGACAGCCAGTATCTTCCTTATTTTTCTTTGGTTTCAATCAGTTTCTAATCCTGTTAATGAGAAACAGTTATACCTCATGGAGAGACTGTAGGAGCTCTGTCATATCATCCTACTCAAAGGTTTTAACACACACACACACACACACACACACACACACACACACACACACACACAC